CCTCCTCCCCGAGGACCCACCTAGCTCGTGTTGATTGAGCGCTGGTGTGTGCCAAGCACGTGCCTTCCTGACAGCCACAGGGACAGGGTCCCGGGACAGATCATCCCCCCTGGAGGACTCACTCCTGATCCCTGTACTGCGCTGCCCTGAAGATCTGGCCCCCCTCACATCACCACGGGGAGTGGGGCACGGGGGCAGGCAGCGTCCCCACGAACCTCATCTGCAGGTTACTTATCACATGACAGTGGAGGGGCTGCCCCCAGAGGCCAGGTCTCCTGGTTCCCCCTCCCCAACCGGGTCCCCCTCCAGCCTGTAAAATGACAAGGCGACGAGGGTCTGCAGCCCCCTGTCACCCTGGGCCTGAAGGGGCCGTAGGAAGCACACCCCGCCCCCGACTCACGTACTCCAGATTTTTCAGGGTGCTGTTGCTGCAGAGAGCTTGAGCCAGGTCCCGGGCTCCCTCTGAGCTGATGGAGTTTTCTCGCAGGCTGGGGAGAGAGAAGACCCTGAACTGCTGACCAGATATGTGGGGACTTGGGGGACACGACCCCTGGCACTCAGGCTTCTCAAACCCAAGGAACCTCAGGGGTGACCTGGGCGTCCTGAGCGATCGGGTGCGAAGGGCCTCCGACAGGCAGGGCTCCCCGGCCGGCCAAGCATCTCCCTGTGGGACTGCCAACAGTGGGGCCACCCAGGAGGGAGCGGATCGGTTGATGGGCCCTCAGGTGAGGGGACGGGGGCAGGCGAGCATGCTTGGCTGCCTCACAAGCTCGTGTAGCAGAGGGAGCAGCAGAACCGGCCAGCTGAGGACCCCGGCTGTCCCCTGCTGTCCCCTGCCCTCCAGAGCGGGTGGGATGCCACAGGCTCCGGGACCCAGGATGCTCCAGGACCCAGCTGCCCAACCACAGATGTCTTCCTAATGGACCCACAGAGGGAGGTGTGGCCTTCCCAGCCCCAGCCTTTCCTCCCAAGTCCCAAAGGCCCTTCAGACCCCTTGACCAAAGGGACACCCCGGCCGGAGAGGGAAGGCGGGACTTACTTGAGGCTGATGAGGGTCTGGTTGGTGCAGAGGGCACCCATCAGCGCCGCCACACCTGCATCACTGATGGAATTGCTCTGCAGGCTGCAAACAGGACGGGGCAGCGCTTGGGACGGTTGTCCCGGACCCCCAGGGAGCCACTGTTCCAGCTTGGGGACTGAAGGTGTAGGGCTCAACAGAGTTGGGGGACCCTGGGTGTTCTTCTCATCATCCCTCCTTCCTGTCCCCATCCCCCACCTGTTCCAGACCCTGCTAGGTCAGGGCAGGTGGCTCTAGTGTGACCAGCCCCCAAAGTTTAGACTCTGCCTTGATTTGAGTGGCTCTAAATGGCCCAGAGAAGGGGTTTGCGTTGTGTCTGCAGCCAGGTGGGGGCAGCGCTGAGCTCCCCCAGCCCCCACCAAGGCTGCTGCAGCTGCAACCCTCTTTAGTCACCAGTGCCAGCCTAGGGGGACTTGGTGCTTGTGACTCTGGAAACTCCAGAACCAACACCAACCTCTGCTGTCCAGGGAAATGGACCTGGTGGGTGGGACGGAACAGTGAGGTAGGCATGGAGAGAGACCGAGATCACAGTGTGCCCAGGGCTGGCGGTTGGCTGGATCCCGGCAGGGTGGTGGCCCTGACTGACAGCCCTCTTCCGGGACCTGCCCACCTTCTAGATGGGACGCCTAGACCCATCTGTCACCCACCCAGGGATGTCACCCACTGCCCACGGCCACTCCTGAGTGTGGTCAGGCAGACTCACTCCAGGCTCTTCAGGCCCTGGTTCACCTTCAGGGCCTTAGCCAGGGCCTCGGCACCTTTATCACCAATGCTGTTACTGGAGAATCTGTAAGAGATAAGATAAGGGTGCGCTGGTTTTCTGGAGCAGCCTGGCGGGTGGGCCCCGGGGATCAGGGTCCAGGGAAGCCCTCCAGGGCAGTGCTCTCTGTTGTCTTAAGGGTGCCCAGGGCACAGTCTGTTCTTGAGTCTGGTTGGTGGCCTCTGCAGGTGACTCCCAACTGCCTGTAAGAGATCAACCTAGCAAAGTACGTCTGGACTCCCTAGCAGGGGCAGGGCCAACTCTTTGGTGAGAGGTTTTGTGATACTTCATGTGAAGTACCCACACGTCTATCCATCCATCCGTTCATCCATCATCCATCCATCCATCCATCCATCCATCCATCCCCATGCTCACAAATATTTATGATGGGCTGGGCTCTGTGCCGGTCACTGAGGATACAAATGTAGCCCTTCCGCATTTCTCACATGAGCTCCTTCAGACTCCTGTTCTGCTTCAGGGCATCTGCCGTCTGCTGGGCTCCCAGAGGCCCGATAGTATTCTTCTGCAGGCTGTGGGAGAGGGGAGGGGTCCCTCAGCAAAGCTGGCCACAGCCATTCCCACTCTGGGGACAGTCTGGGGGAAGGGCGAGAGCTCAGAGACGACTCAGGTGCTCTCCCCGCCGCGTGGGCAGAGGGGGCTCTAGGAACAGACTGTGCATCATTGCCGAAATGATGCCAGCAGATTGACACTGTTATGTGGGGCGTCAGAGGCAAGGACGGCTGGCCTCCTTGCCCAGGCAACCCTCCCAACGCTCAACAGTCGTCCTCCCTCTCGACCAGCCCGCAGCCTACCTCCCACCCCTGCAGTCCTGCCTAGGGCAGACCCTCCGTTTCCGCTCTTCTCCGAAAGCTACTTCCCTTCATACTAAATCTGGAGGAGGGAGATGCTACAAGAGAACCCCTGTGCGCATCTCAGAAGGGCAGGCAGGGCAGGACCTGTCCTGTGTAAGGCCAGATACAATCTCAACTAAAGGGAATTTTCCTGGTTCCAAAAGGGATCCTTTCCCTCAGAGCATTTCTTTGAGAAAACTTGGGATTGTAAATCTGTCCCTTTGAGAAGCGTATAAATCCTTTTAAAAGCTAAATAAGCCTTTTGCCAGGGTGATGGCCCCCAAGGGACCTCAGAACCACGTCTCTGAAAGGAGCGCGTGGAGGAAGGTAGCACCACTCCAAGTTGTAATTGTCTGCTTGTCATAATGGCACGAGGAGCCTGGCTTTTCCTTTGGGTAAAGGCAATCGTTGAACAGCTGACTACCTTAACCACCAGGCAAACTGAGGAAACACTGTGGGTGACAGACGGTGCTGTCCAGTCCTCTTACTTGAGGACAAGTTATCTTGAGAACACACGTGCTGTGGGTTGTATCTGCTTGGCTGTAGAAAAGGTGAGATTTCTTTCTGTCCTGGCCAGCTCGCTGCTGGATTGCCAATGATGTACAGTGCAATCTGGTTGATTCTTCAAATAATGCAACTGTTTCATTCTTTTCTACCTTTGCGGAGAGGATTTTCTGCATTGGCAGGAGGCTTTATTTTTAATTATTTCCCCAATACCTGTTCTGTGGAAGAGTGGACATCAAGATTTCCAGGGGTCATCTAGATGGGCCCGGAAGTCTCAGGCCGTCTCCCCAATCATCCTTCCTTGCAGGAAACAGGCCCTTGGAGGAGGGGAGAAGGGGGGGGGTATCTCTGCTGGCCAGCACGTCCACTTACTGTAGCACAGAGAGGGTCCGGTTGGCGGCCAAGGCCTCAGCCACAAACCTGGCACCGTTATCCCTGATGGCATTGTTCTGGAGGCTGTGGAGGCAAGGAAGAGGTACATCACCAATGGCACAAGAGAGGGCCCAATGGTGGCCTTGACCCCTACCACAGTGTTACCAAGGCCCAGGGGGTGGGGGTGGCAGCTGACCACTACGTGCCCTTGCTGCCCACCACACAGGATTTGGGAACAGTTGGTTCCTCCCAGGGAATCATAAGGATTCCCTCTGAGTCTCTAAGCATTTGTCTGCTGACTGGGGACAGGGTGCGCATATTATCTGGATGACGATAGCTAGGTTGTCCGTAGTCTTAATTACAGCTAAAAGCCACAGCCTCCAAATGTTAACGAGGATGTGGAAATATCGGAACCCTCACCCATTGCCGGTGGGGATGTAAAATGGTGCGGACCTTGTGGAAAACAGTCCGGCGCTTCCTCAAAAGGTCCAACATAGAGTTACTGAGCAGTTTCACTGGTGGGTATTTACCCAAAAGAATGGAGAACAGGTACTCAAATGCTTGCACGTGAATGTGTACAGCAGCATTATCCACAAGAGCCAAAAGGTGGAAACAACCCAAATGTCCGTGAGCTGACAAATGGGTACGTTGGGGTCTGTTCTTAAAGCGGAATGTTATTAACCAGAAAAAGGAATGAAGCACTGACACGTGCTACAATGTGGATGAGCCTTCAAAGCAATATGCTAAGTGAAAGAAGCCAGACACAAGAGGTCTTATTGTATGATTCCATGGTAAACATAGAGACAGAAAGCAGATTGGTGGTTTCCAGGGACTGGGGGGAGGGGAGAATGGGAGGTGATTGATAAAGAATACAGTCTTCTTTTCAGGTGGTGAAAATATTGTGGAACTACATAGAGGTGATGAAGGAACAACTGTGAATGTACTAAGTGACACTGAAATGTATACTCTAAAGTGGTGAATTTCACCCCAATAAAAATACATAAATGAAGAAACAGATGACAGTACACACTCAACTAAGGATGGGTACAACCACATGTGACAGCTCCTAAAAGGAGCACAGCAAACCATAGGAACATTGTAGAGAATGGCACTTTCAGCGTCCTGGAAAACACCTCAGGAAAACATCCTGACACCATGGCCTTGGATTTCCCATTCGATAGAAGACAAGAGGTTTTCCTCATAGATTATTTTGCTTTTCCACCTCTATACAACCGCATCCTCCTTTTCCTCTATCCCTGAATTAGGCTGTACACACAAGGACAATGAGCACAGAAGAACTGAAACCTGAAACTTGTATAGATACGAGATCATGTGGCATCCACCTAGACAGGAGCCAGTATAGCATGCCTGCCATTTTGAATCATCTCCCACTCCATGGTTGGTACCTGGGAGAGGGTTTTGTGGGCCCTCTGCTGGTTATATCGGGATGTGGAGCAGATGGCGCGTACCTCAAAAAGGCCAGAGTGCGGTTAATCTTCAGAGCATCTGCCAGAGCCTTGGCCCCTTGAGGTCCGATGGAGTTACTGCGGAGGCTGGCGGGAAGAAGAGAGAGAAAGAACTGTTTTCTTTTATCCAATTCCCAGGGAGGAAAGAAAGAAGTTACACTGACCTTTAAATCTATGCTCTTTGAAAATAACGGGGTTTAAGATTTCATGTTTTGTGGAGATCGTTATTCAGGTGAACAAGTAAGGAATTTCACAGTATGGCCCCCCAGTATGATGGGGGGTCATCGGGGGCTGGGGGGGGGAGCAGGATCTGATGGACGTGGCTTGGGCCAAGTATGGAGAGGAGAATCATACCAGCTTCAGGGCCAAAATTCTGGTGCCTCCCTTGGCTGATCCCCACAACTGACGAGGAGCCAGGAATTTGCTCACTCTGCTGTCCTTCCACCCGACCGAGGGGACAGTGTGGTCTGGGGGACTTCACAAGATGGCTGACAAGCTTTCCCTGTCCCAGTGGTAGAACGTTGGCCTCTGGTGTCCTACTTACTCCAGAGCAGTCAGACTTCTGTTGACCAGGAGGGATCTGGCCAGAGCTTTGGCCCCTTTGTTACTGATCTGGTTCTCAGCCAAGCTGCCCAAGGAGAAGGAGAAGAGTGGTTATTGCTGGTCTACAACTGTCATGGCCTCTTCCTCAACACCAGGCTTGTGATCCAAACCTCCTGGTTTCACCAGCATCATGAGGGCCTGGACGCAGGTGGAGATGACGTGAGCCCTGGAGCAGAATCGCCCAGGCCAGGAAAGCCTCTGAGCCAAGTAAGGTAAGGCCAGAGTGCAGGGGACAGACCCTCACACTGGCAAAGATGCCCAAGGCAAAGTCTGGCCAGAATCCAGTACGACAGCGTCTTTGCAAACAGCACAGCAAAGAGCATGGGCAGTTACAGAAGTTTCCCACAAAGATCCCCGGCAGCAGTGTGCCGGAAAAGTACAACAATACTGATTTGTAGCATTGGCCGATTTGCATGGTGTAAATACTCTCACCACGGCCAATTTCAAGCAGTCCCAGCTTGCAAAAATTCCTAAAACTTTAAAAACCTGCTCTCACGAACTGTGTCTGCATTCATAGTACTAGCTCACCACTGGCCCCTGTCCTTTTCTAGCACAGGGAAAGAAAATGGTACTGACTATAGAATTAACTTCAAAGTAAAACAGAAACAGGGCGCCTGGGTGGCTCAGTCGGTTAAGTGTCTGACTTTGGCTCAAGTCATGATCTCACGGTTCACGAGTTGGAGCCCCGCATCAGGCTCTGTGCTGACAGCTCAGAGCCTGGCACCTGCTTCGGATTCTGGGTCTCCCTCTCTCTCTGCCCGTCCCCCACTTGCAATCTGTCTGTCTCTCGGAAAAATAAACATTGAAAACAAAAAAAGAAAACAAAAAGCAAAAGCCCGTGTTCCTCAGAACAGCTTTAGGAGTCCCAGAGGCTGAGGGGGCACCACGTGCCTGGGCTCTGGGCCTCCACGTCTCCTCTTTCTGTCCAGAAGCTCCCGGGTGCCCGTCTTTTGTGGGCATTCTGGCTGATAGGCCACTTTTAAAAGGGATTCTGTTGTGTAGAGTTTGAAGATCATTCATCCAGACCGCCCTCTACATAACCGTCCTCGAGTCCTAGAACCTCTGTCCCCTCTCCGCCCAGGACTTTTGTAACAGTTTTTAAATAATATCTCATGAGCCACGTGTGTTTTCTGAAGGGTGCCTTTTCAAACGGGATGTGGCCCCTGAGGACCAACTACAGAGAGGGGAAGAAGAGCACGTGGCCTTAGAAGAAATTTTGGCTTTTGTGCAGAATATTTTCTGAGCGTTATCCAGACTCCTTTATGCAAAACTCTGGAAGTGGACTATTTTGCTGAAGGCTCCCGTGAAGGAAGAATATTAATGAAATTAATTAATGTTATTGTGTTTCTTTCAGAGGGATTGCATTTCTATCTCTGGCCGCTAGCCCAAGGGGATCCTGCTAATAGCCGGCCCTCATCCAGTGCTTCCTCTGTGCCTGGCCCGTCCTCACCGCTTGCCTTGAGTTAACCCACTGAAGCTGCTTCAACAACCGGAAGGGGGAATGTGCAGGAAAGGGTTAACCTTGCCCCCAGTTCCGGAGAGGTGACCTCTGAACGCTTGGAATGTCCTGCCTGATAAGTCTGTCTGTGTTTACCTGGGGCCCTTGGGCCGTGCAGTAGCAGCCTGACGTCCCTACCTCTGGAGGGGCTTCCCATGACCCACCTCCAGTAAAATGTCTGGACCCAAGCCCGGGTGCGCCTCCCTGGTTGGAACGCTTCAAGTGTGCTGTTGCGCGTGGTGGCTGGGGGAGGCGGGCCCTGTCTGCACCACCACAGCGGAAGGACAACTGAAAGCTTGCCCCTGTCTCTCGGGCCCGCCTCATGCACCCTTCCCTCTGCACATTTAAATCCGTATCCTTTTGATGTCCTGAGCCACAAGTGCAGGTACAACAGCTCTTCTGGGTTCTGTGAGTCCTTCTAGTGAATCATTAAACCTTTGGGGGGGTCCCGGAGACCCGAGACTCACAGATACGTTTTAACCCCATGTTTACACTCCTTTGGCACAGAGTTGACTGTACAGGGCCACACAGAGCCCACCGCTCGCCACTGTCTTCCGTGACTTCTTTTGGCTCCTGACTCACTCCGTGTTTGTGTTTGTTTTCTCAGAGATTATTCCTGAACCCAGAGGGAGGCTTAAGTGAGGACGAAGAATTCCTCTCTGGATCCTGTTCTCCAGACTCCTCTCCCTATTTCTAACCACCCCCAGGTCACAAGCCCACTCCTCAGTGTTACTGAGACTTGGAAATGTGATCGCAGGAGATCTCACAGGCGCGAAACTCTATTTTGCCGTCAGCACACAGACTTGTGTCTCATCACACCATTAAAGAGTCAATGTTTAAATTTTATTTTTTTGTACTCGTTTAAATAAAAGTTCAAATTTAAATCCAAATTTTAAATTAAAAAATTTCTAATTTAATTTCAAGAGCCAATCCTGTGCCTGTAATACTGTTTTGAGGGCAAACATTGAGAGGAGCTTAGAGAACATCGTGCCTCGCAGTACTTCGGAACGTTGAGTATCTGCGGAAATGCTCCCATGTCCACCAGAGCACCTGACCCTCACCATATCCCTTCCCTCTTCTTACAGGTGAGGGACCTGAGCCTCTGGAACTTTCCGGAAGGGGCAGAAACAAGCAGCCACGTGTTTCCAAGGCACCTCTCCTTGCAAGCGCCTCTGGCCGATTGAGCAGAGAGGAGGACGGGAAAATAGCCCTGGACCCCGTGCGACAGGTAGGCACCCCGGGTGGGGTCTCCCGGGTCAGCGTTACCTGATCCTCTGAATGCGACAGTCCTTCCCGCTCAGCACGCTGCCCAGCAGCTCCATCACGGGGTCCTGGAACTGGTTGTTGTCCAGCCTGCAGGAGGCAGAGCGATAATGAGTGGTACCACCGCCCGCGGGCGGGTGGAACGAGGCCCCGGCAAAGGGCCGCCCTCAGGGCAGCGGACACACCCAGGCTGGCATCCCTTCCCTGGCCCACGTTTGCATCGCCACGCAGCCCCCACCACGAGGTGGCCCGGGGACCCGTGCTGGCACGCCCGCCGGGCTCGAGGTTTTCCCGGGAGGGTACGCCGGGAGCCTCAGTGTGGTGAGCCCCAGGATTCCTGCGCAGAGGGCGTCTCCCCGGCAGCCCCGTACATCACGTGTCCGCCGGACACGGGCTGCTAGCTCTCCTTCTAAGGGTGTGGCAGCTGCTCTCAGGTCCTGACGGCCCTGGTCTTAGAGACACTGAAGTCCAGAGCAGGATGGGAGATGGGCGGGAGGGGTGGTGGTGGAGTAAGTGGGCGCGGCCTCTGTCGGCAGAGGGGTGGCTCACAGAGTGCCGTGGGTTGAATCATGTTCCCCGGAAAGATATGTTGGTGTTCTGACCTCCCGCCGCCACCCCAGCGCCTCAAGCTCATGACCTCATCTGGAACCAGGGTGATTGCGGATGTCATGAGTCCAGATGAGGTCATTCTGAGGGGGGCGGGCCCGTAAGCCAGTACGACTGGCGTCCTTGTCAGAGAGAACACCACGTGGAGACGGTGACACGGGGGAGGCGCCCGTGTGACCACCCGGATCGGAGTGATGCGTCTGCAAGCTGAGGACTGCCAGTGAACAGCACGAGCTAGCGAGGCAGGAAGGCTTCAGAGGGAGCTCAGGCCTGCCGACCCCTTGAATTTGGACCGTGCCCCCCCAGAGCTGTGACAGAACAAGTTTCTGCTGCCTTAAGCCATCCGTGCTGTGGCCCTGCAGGCGGCCCCCAGGATGCTGACACGGGGGGGGGGGCGTGGTGGAGGGGAACGGCCTTCCAGGCCCCCGCTGTCTCCTCCGACCCGCACCGCGCACACCCCCACCCCAGCGCCCACCTCAGGCTCCGGCAGTAGAGCAGCTGGGGCAGCAGGCTCTGGAGGACGCCCTTGCTGAGGCACAGGGACAGGTTGGCTTCCTGGACGCAGGCGTCTGACACCTGCAGGAGGTAGGCCAGGGCCGCTTGGTGCCGGGGGCCGGTCAGCCCCGCCAGGCTGCCGCTCTGCATGGCCTCCTCCACGCCGCGGGCCAGCTCCGTGTGCCGCAGCTCGTGCAGGCAGTGCAGGACGTTGACGGCGCGGGCGCACACCGCCACGTCGGGGCGCAGGCAGCCCTGCAGGAGCTCGGCCGCCTGGGCCCCGTAGCCCTGGTGCTCCCCCTGCACCAGCAGGGAGCCTGCCAGCAGGGCGTTGACCCCGGGGGAGAGGAGTCCTGAGAGGAAGCGCAGGAACACATCCAGCCGCCCGTCCTCGGCCTGCATGGCCCGCTGGGCCGCGCTCCTGAAGTGTGTGAGGAAGCCGAGGCGGGGCCAGGACACGCCACCCTCGGCGAAGAGGTCGAAGATAGCCCGCCTGGAGGCAGCGTAGTAATACGCGGCCGCCACAAACTCCTGCAGGGACAGGTGCGTGAAGCAGTAGGCCGTCGACGCGGCCAGCGTCTCTTCCCGCTGCAGGAAGCGGCTGCACAGGCCGCTCTGCAGCAGAGCGAGATCCACGCCAAACGCCTTCAGGTCCTGCTCGTAGAACACGTACTTCTTCCTGACCAGCCCGTGGAAGGCCAGCCGCCCCAGAGTGCCCACCATCTTGCGGCAGCTGTGGGCCACCTGCTCGATGCGAGGGCTCACCTTGCCCTTGTCCTGCCCGTCCCCACCGAGGGCCATCCTGAAGTACCAAGAGTAGAGCTCGCACAGGGTCCTCGGAGCCTGCTGCCCGGCGTCCTGGGGCCCCGGCCCGCTGTGGCGCAGGTGACCCAGGGCTGACCCCGCAATCCGGCAGAAGGCTGGGACCGTGCACATCAGGTACAGGGCCCTGTCCGCCCGCACCTGCCTCAGGACCCAGTCGGAGAGGGTGTGGTCCTCGGGGAACATCTCCTCCAGACACGCCTTGATCTCCTCCTCGTCAAAGCCCCGGATCTCTGTCATCCGGTCTACCAGGCCCCCCGGGATCTGGCCGGCCACGCTGGGGCGGGAAGTGACCCAGACAGAGACTTCTGGGAATAGGTTGCCCCGGATGATGTTGGTGATCAGATGGTCCACCTGGATCTCCTTCTTGGGGTCCGTGCAGGCCACGGTGTTTGAGAAGTCCAGAGGTGTCTTACACTCGTCCAGGCCATCCAGGATCAGGAGGGTTTTGGGTGGGGCTGCCGCCGCCGGGCCGGACTCCCCGATGTGCGAGAAGACGGAGCGGACTAGTCTGTCCGCAGACAGCTTCTCGTGGGTGTTGAGATCTCGGAAGGTCAAGGGGAGCACCAGGGAGAAGTCCTTGGCGACCTGTCCCCGGGCCCAGAGCTGGACAAAGTTCCTCACCAGGGTGGTCTTGCCCACGCCAGCTACCCCGATGGTGATGGAGATTCGGGGGGGGATAGACACCCGAGACAGAGGCAGGAAGAGTCTGTCCAGGGTGAGGCTCCTGGCCGGGCGCCAGGCCCCACGCGTGGTCTCCACCTGTGTGAAGTCATGTTCCCTCAGCTGTAGGTCTGTCAGCCCCTCCAGCAGCAGGAGGCTGGTCAGCCTGGGCGGGGGGCCGCCTCTCGCCCTGTTCAGCAGAGCCTCCCGGCACTTCTGTATCCTCGAGTCTGCGGGACAGAGGCCGAAGGGGAGGGCTGTGGAGGGCGGGGGAGGAGAGGGCAGCGGGGAGCGGGAGGGCCCAGGGACACCCTCCTTCCGCCTACCGTCACCGTGAGGCCCTAGGGGGGCCTGTGGCACCCTGTCCAGGGGCTCTGGGGCCTGGAAGCCCTGACTGCTCTTCCCGGCCAGCAGGTCCACGAGGGCTTTCACTTGCCCAGCCGGGGAGCCGGGGCCTCGGCCCTGGCCTGCCTCCCCGCCGGTCCGCACCTCCTGCTTCCTCATGGGGTCCACGATGGCCGCCAGCAGCTGCGAAGAGAGGGCCTGAGGTGCCGTGTGCCGCGTCACCACCCTGGCCTGGGACAGGTGAGTGAGCCTCCAGGGATGGGGAGGGACCCACTCCCTGTCCTTCCCCAGGCTGCCGGTGGCCCCCTCCGTCCGGCCTCCAGGAAGGGCCCGGAAGGGCTGTTCGTTCCTGGATGGCGAGTGTCGTCCCTGACGCCAGGAGTATGGTGGATAAGAACCGGGCCCAGGCTGGAACCTGAGCTCCGCCACTTACTGGCTGTGTGGCACCGGGCAGGCCGCCTGAGCTCCTCGTGCTGTGCTGTCCTCATTTGTGACCTGGAAGTGGAGACGGGGTTAAGAGCAGGGCTGCTCCCGAGAAGGGGAGAATGAAGGAGGTCAATCTGGAAAGGCCGCGTGCTCTGTGAACCCAGCTCTGTGACCCCCCTGGAAAAGGCAAAACTGTGGAGAAAGGGAAAAGATCATCCATGGTTGCCAGGAGGGGAGGGGTGAGTGAGTCAGTCAGGAGGGAGCCCCTGGGGACTCCTGACCCCAGCAGCGCCCTTCTCGGCTGGGCGCTGCAGTGTGGGGCCACCGAGAGGCGGAGCCGTGCGGGGCCCCACCTGCTCCCGTCGCTTTCCCTGAGGCTCCGAGTGGATCCCGTGTGTCCCTCCCTCAGCTACGGTGGGCGCTCCAGGACCCCCGGCGTGCCCCCGCCCCCTCCTCACCTGCAGCGGGCGGGGTGTCCGGCCCACAGCAGCTCCTCCGGCAGGGCCCCACGAACTCAGGGGGTGGGGGTCGGCCATCCCTCGCCCAGGGGTCTAGGAGAGAAGACAGGACAGGGCTGAGCAGAGGCTACACCTGCCGCTCCGGATGTCAGCCGCTCAGTGAAATGGGTCTGGCCCGTGTCTTCTAGCTTGGCGGTTCTCTGGGTCTCAACGATCGTCACTTAGGGGAGGGGTCACCTGACTCCAGCCCCAAGGATCCGACATGTTCCCTGATCTTGTGCTTGCACTGGGCTTTCCTGGCACTCTAACTCGGGATGAGCCTTTTTACCTAGAAGATGCTAAAAGGGGCTTGACAACAAGTAGAATAGCGTTTTCCAGCCGTTCCGTCCGGAGTGCTGTTGAAGTGTTAGGTAGTGCAGCGAATTCAGGGCAGGCCGTGTCCAGCCCAGCCGAGGGAGTCCGGCAGCGTTCGTAAAGAGGCCAGGGGGAGGCCTCGCTCCTTCTTCTTCTTCGGACCCCCTGGCTGTTCCCCCTCTTTTGTTCTTCTTGGCGTCAAATCCAAGGGGAAAAGAAACCAGATGGGGTTCTGAGGGAAGTCTCACTAATGTGGATAGATCGGTGTGGGTGTCACTGAGGAAGACAGTCTTGGTGCGTTGTATCTCCTTTCCCATCAAATATTAAGTATTCATGTTATTTCCCATCATTTCTCAGTGAATTCTTACTGCAGTATGAATAACTTCATCTCTTTCCTAAAATCGCAACACTTATCCTGAACAAGTTTTCCCACGTGGGTCAGACCCTCCACCTCCCCCACGCAGTGGTGAGTGACGGGAATCACACTGGGCCTCCTCGTCTGACTCCCAGGCGTGGTTCGAGCCCAAGCCGTCAGGCCTCATGTTTGTGATCGTGTCTAAGTTGTTCTCTCCTCTTGGAAAAGATTCCTTCGCTTCCTTGTGTCCTAGCACCATTCAGATAGCGCCACATGATTGCTCCTGAAGGCTTCCTGTGCTCCAGATGACGATCTGTTAAACATTGTACTTACATCATTTCGCTTCTTGTAACAACCCTTATTAAATTGTCACTGCTCCTGTTTTATGGATGAGGACACTGAGGCTCAGAGAGGTTAAGTGACTGGCTCGAGGCAACACAGCTGGGGAGCAGCTGAGTTGAGAGAGAAACCAAGGCTTCGCTGACAACAGCCTTTGTGCTGGGCAATCTCCTGCCTCTTATAGCATGTCCCCACGTTTTTCTTAATTAAAAAAATTTTTTTAATATTTATTTTTAAGAGAAAGAGACAGAACGTGAGCAGGAGAGGGGCAGAGAGAGAGAGAGCGAGACACAGAATTCAAAGCACGCTCCAGGATCTGAGCTGTCAGCGCAGAGCTCGACTTGGGGCTCGAATTCACGAGCCGTGAAATCATGACCTGAGCCGAAGTCGGATGCTCAACCAACTGAGCCACTGAGGTTCCCCTTGTACGTCCCCACATTTAAAAAATTAGGCATGTCTGTTAAATTAGCAAATACCTTTTTAGCAGTATTGACCCAACCACATGATTTATTTCCCTTCAGTCATTGAATCAGGAGGTATTTATTGAGGGCCTTTTGTGGCCTGTGGGCACTGGGGGATCTGAAGGGAACAAGTTAGACAAGGTCCTGACCCTGTGAGTGTGATCCAGGTGGGGCACATGACAGTAAAGAAACCCAGTGAATGAGTGAGGCCATCTGACATGATTAACACTGTGAATGAAACACACAGGGTGCACGGCGGAGTGGGTCGGCTGTCACGGTGGCCAGGGAAGGCCTCTGTGAGAAGGCCACTTAGGAGCAGAGATCTGAAGAGTGAGAACGCGTTAATTACACACAGAGCTAGGGGGACAGCAAGTACACATGCCCTGTGCATTACTGGGGCAGAAAAAGCCAGTTGCTGGAGCACAGTGAATGGGGGTAGGGGTGGGGCTCACAGGATAAGAGTCCGTTTGAGACCCACCCACCGTCATAGTGGCCATAATGCGTTTGGGTTTGTACTAAGTGTGGTGGCAAGTCACTAGAGAGTGACATGCTGGATTCATATCCAGTCTCTCCTTTAATCTGTGAGCTACACTACAGATTTTCTAACATTGAACCAACCTTAGGTTCTTGAATACTATGTTCCACGTGTATTAAGCTGTGTAAAACAGGGTGGACCAGCACAAGAATAGATACAGAAGTCATCGGAACATAATATAGAACTTAGGAACAAATACATATTTATATTACTTGCATATGAAGGAGTTTGGTAATGTGAAAAAAATAACATTAAATTAAAAAAAAATTTTTTTATTTAGAGATCAGTGGGGGAGAGGGACGGAGAAAGAGGGGCAGAGGGAAGTCAAGACAGAATCTTAAGCAGGCTCCATGCTCAGCATGGAGCCCAGCAGGAGGCTGGATCTCACAACCCTGGGGTCACGACCGGAGCCAAAATTAAGAGTCGGAGGCTCAACTAACTGAGCTACCTAGGTGCCCTGGTTGTTTTTCTTTAAATTTTTTTTGAAGTTTATTCATTTTTGAGAGAGAGAGAGAGAGAGACAGAGTATGAGCAGGGGTAGGGCAGAGAGAGAGAGGGAGACACAGAATCCGAAGCAGGCTCCAAGCTCCGAGCTGTCAGCACAGAGCCTGACGTGGGGCTCGAACTCACAAACCACGAGATCATGACCTGAGCTGAAGTCGGACGTTCAACCGACTCAGCCACCCCGGGGCCCCCCCTGGTGGTTTTTCAATTAGGTGCTAGTGCAATAGGGAAAATGAAAGAATAAAAGATTTCAGGATTGGAAAAGGAAAAAAAAAAACTTTCACTGTTCACAGTTGACATGATTATATACATTGAAAATCCAAAACAATCTACAATTGATTAGAACCAATACATGAACTTAGCAAGGTTTCTGAACACAAGGTCGGTTTTAAAAAGTCATATCTATTTCTGCTTATTAGCAACAATGAAATTGAAAGTAAAAGTTTGAAATATTTAAAAAGCAAATATCTAGGGGCGCCTGGGTAGCTCATTCGGTTGGGCGTCCGATTTCAGCTCAGGTCATGATCTCACGGTCCATCAGGTAGAGCCCCGTGTTGGGCTGTGTGCTGACAGCTCAGAGCCTGGAGCTGCTTCGGATTCTGTGTCTCCCTCTCTCTCTGCCCCTCCCCTGCTCGTGCTCTGTCTCTAGCTCAGAAATAAATAAGCATTAAAAAAAAAAATAGGAATAAATTCAGCAAAAAATTTGCAAGACCTCTACACAGAAAACTAAAAACAATACTAAGAGAAATGAAAGAAGACCTAAAAGAGGGATTTACCATGTTCATGGTTTGGAAGGCTTACTATTATTAAAATGTCATTTCTTCCCAAATTGATCTATAAATTGAACGACATCCTAATCAAAATTCCAGCAAGCTTTTTTGGTGAGGGAGGGAGGGTAGAAATTGGCAAGCTGATTCTAAAACATATATGTAAAGCAAAAGACCCTAGACCAGCCAACATTATTTTGAGAAAGAAGAACAAAGCTAGACGACTTCTACTACCCAACATCAAGGCTTAGTATAGAGCTGTAGGTTTTGGCACAGGGCTGGCAGATAGCCCAGTGCAATATGACAGAGGGTCCCGAAACAGACCCACACGTCATGTGTGGTCAGCACATTTACAACAGGGGCTCCACTGCAAGTCAGGGGAGAAAAGATGGTCATTGTATTACATTGTGTTGCTCCAATGGGATATTCCTATCGGAAAATGGACCTTGACCCCCGTCCTCCCACCACACACAAAGATTAATTCAAGCTGGATCATAGATCTAAATGTGAATGCTAGCCCCACCAAGTGTTTAGGAACAGTTACAGAATACTTTCAGGAACTTGAGCTAGGTAAAGACTTAAGTGGAGCACAAAAAAAGCACTAACCGTGAAAGAAATGAGTGCCATATTTGGATTCATTAAAATTAGGGATATCTGTTCAAGAGAAGACAGTTTTAAAAGGGCGAGAAAGCAAACTGCTGACTAGGAGATGTCTCCAGTACATTTAAAAATCCGGTAAGAAATGGGCGCCAGGATGGCTCAGTCGGTTGAGCATCCGACTTCGGCTCAGGTCATGATCTCACCTTTCGTGAGTTTGAGCCCCACGTCAGACTCTGCGCCGACAGCTCAGAGCCTGGAGCCTGCTTCGTATTCTGTGTCCTCCTCTCTCTCTCTGTCTCGCCCCTGCTCACGCCCTGTTTCTCTCTCATAAATAAAAAAATAAACATTAAAAATCAGTAA